GAAATAAAAATGAAACATAAAAAAAAAAACACCGAAAGAAAACGATTGTTAGCAATCAAGGTATGTATGAAGATCGCACTGCTCAGCATGCGTTCTTCACAGCTCAACACGAACGGGGTCGTCAATTCCGAAAGCGAGCAAATCACGCGCCGTATACGTACTAGCTTTCTACCGACGACTGTGACTCGTATATAATCTGACGCTACTCATTAGAGGCACGCATCTAAAGGCTGAACTCAGTAGGGCAAAGACTCACACACACAAAAAAAAAAATCGCCTTGAAAAACTTTATTACAAAACGCCGCTGCGTATTCGTCGGAAACCGAATTCCATGCAGCAAACAAGCGATGAACGCCGCCAAAGCCAATGAGGAGCGCAAGTTCGTCTGCTTCTTTTGGCACGGGTTGTGGTGACGTCACAACGCCGAGCCCCGATTGGTTCTGATCGAAGGATGGTGGGTAGACTTCAAAGCAAGCCGCCTTGAAGTCTGCCCGCTATTCTTCAATCAGTACCAATCAGAGCTCGGCATCTTGACGTCACCACAACCTGTGCCAAAAGAAGCAGACGAAGTTGCGCTCGCCATACATGATGTCAATGCGTCAGTTGCGCGAGCGACTTCTTCTGCACACAAATGACGCTCTTGCAAACGCTGAAAACCCGAGTGAACTACCAACGCATTACGCCATCAGCTAATGGGGTGCGCACAAAATACGTTTATACGGTTCGAACGTGATTGCAGCTTTGGAGCCAGTCGGAAATCGGAGCCATTTCCTTGATTATATTGCTCGTGACCCGCGCCGGCCGTTGTCCCCTGCCGGTAGTGGCGGACGTCGAGCGAAGAAAATTAGAGCCACTAAATGAGCTGCGATTAGAGTATCGGTACTTTCTTTTCCGACACTGTCGTGGGCGCCGCCGTTTTCGTGTTTCTGCAGAGCAGACGCAACTGCCGATAGTCATGATTCAAAAGTGCGACTTCCTTATCATTATAGGTTCGGTGTTAGGAAGCTCATGTATAAATTGGGTTGTGTGGATATTTATACAGCGTGTAGTTGGTCAGCCATTTAAAGTTGCGACGAGTCACACGCTGTAGATGAGCAATTTAGCCAGTGCAGTACAACCGCTAGCCTGGGGTCTTTAACTTGCACCACGTAATAGTGATACACGACCGCACGCCGGTACGATGCTCATCCAGATCAAAATGGGCAGGGGTAAGGCTCGAACCCAGGATCCCTGGGTTCTGCAGCGCGAGCTTTCGCTCCACGCGCGTCGAGCTGGGTGTGCACCTTAGCCCACTTGGCCACCGATCCTTTTTTTTTCTTTATTGCATGGAAGCACAGACGGTGAGCACATGGGTCATAGTTGCAGTTTTGCATTCTCGTTTCTCGGCCACCGATCCCCCGAAGCTCATGTAATATTGCTCTGGTCTGTAGCAAACTGTTTAAACATTTGTGGGAGACGGAAGAGCGTTTCCTGTGATTTCAGATAAAGCTCCAGATAACTGGCAACCATGATTTTAAGCCACAATATAGGCAAGTGCCGTTACTCTGAAGCGTAGCTTATTTAGCTTCCCTAGATCGACGACGAACGGCCCGTGGCCCGAGCTACCCAAGCCCACCCCGAGCACACGACATGCATGCGCAGCTGCGAGCAGGCAACTCCTTTGTTCCGAAAAATTTCTGCGCCATCTATATACGGAAAAAGACACAAATAAATTGCCGGTGAATTCTACCTTAAAGGGGCCATGAAACGAATTTTGGGTTGGGATGAATGATTTTAAATTGGGACTTTACTAATCGCGTACCGTTTAGTTGGCCAAAAGAAAGAGGCTATAGTTGGTTGCAAGCTAAGAAAAAACCGGCAATGCCTCTCAGAGGAAAATGTAATCCTACGCCGAGAAACGCCAGCCAATCGTTTTCATGACGTCACGATTCCGTGTACCAATCGCGATCCTTTTGAAAAAAAAAGAAAAAAGAAGCTCAACATGGCTGTTGGCCTTAGCAACGCGACGCTAGTTTCTCGTGACAATTATTCTGCTTTTTTGCACCGTGTTTTACGTGCCCGAGGTTACGCCACGAAATCTTAATGGTATCGGCTTGCGTTTGCAGCAGTTTTTGCGCAAAAACGTGAGAATCCAGCGACGCTATCGCCAACAAAAATTTCGAAGCGGTGGCGAGGCTTAGCACTGCTGAGAGGTATGTTAGACGGTATGTCAGACAGTATCTTGGACAGAAAATAAATTGGGAAAACGGTACATTGGACATGACTTTCTTTCTTTACTAAACAGCTATTTCGTTGACAAAAACGTATTCTAACTTATTTAAACGTCCTGAATGAATTAAATAAATATTGTAGTAGTTTAAGACACGTTTCCTGGAGGAAGAAAAAGCAACGTTGCTAGCGAACTACTTTCTCGACGGCGGAGGCACCTCACATGGGCGCAATGCGCTTGTGGGTGGAGCTAAAAGATTGTTCTTAGGTTGCATCCGACTATAGAAAGTCAAAAGCCAGCTTTTCGGTACCAACATTTGACAATATAGTGGACTATTTTGTACCTTCTTTCCTTCGAAAGCTCTCCGCCTTTTTACTATGATACATCCGCGGTTCCAAAAGCGCGTCACCGGCGCCAAACTGACGTCAGCATAGCCCAGCTCACGCATTGGACACGAGAACTGCGTCACTCGGACGTAAGCGCTCGTCAACAATCAATCCGTTTACGAATATTTGGATTCACGTTCGTGGCCAATAAATGCCCTGACGGAACTTATTGTCACTGGGGAACGACAAGTTCTATGGTGTGCATAAAAAGCACGGTGGAACCTAGGAGTCATCGCACCGGTGCCGAAGGAATGTCACGACCACGTGATCTCACAATTCGCATTTTAGTTGAGGATTAAAGCTAAGAAGGAAGAAGTAGGGAAATCGTTTCATGACCCCTTTAATGCATGCCAATTATGCCGAATGCTAAACGAATACAAAGAGACATTTCCTCACGCAGTAGCAGCAGAATAAGGGGACTTGTTGCAACCACAGTTTAGTGTTGCAACCACCGCTTGTTTCAACCACAGTATAGTGGGAAATGAAAGTGTATTGTTGGCAGAATTTGTATCGTAAAGTGCTCTGGGAAAGCCGATAACAAAGCATCACTCGCAAGAACAATTTTCTATTAGCATATTGTCTACTGTATTGCAGCTCGATGCGTTTTATAAGCGCGGGGCAAGTATTTAGGAGTCGGCTCGAAAACTGCTTTACTTGAGTTCAACGTGGCTCGTTTCTCCATTATTTGTAGATATCTAGCAGTACAGTGCCGCCCGTATACCTCCGAAGAACCAGGCCGGTACGTATGCACTCACCTCTTCACGCGAGTGGGTTCGCTCGCACGAGGCCAAAATCTATGCCGGCCGTGTTTCCATTAAACGCTACGTTGCTAATGGAACCCTCAGTCTTGAAAGATTCGCCGCGACGCCCGACGGACGCTCGGTGAAAAGAAAGGCGTGCAGCGCCGCACGCTGACGTTTATGTTACGCGGCGAGCCATTACGCGGGCGAAGACTGCAGTGGTACAGGGTGTACTTCAATAATATTGTCATGAATGACAATAGATGAGGCGATGATAACTGAAGAAACTAAACGTTTAATGGTGCAAACTTGTGCCCAAAACAAAAATGAAACAGAACAAAACAGCAAACCGTTGCGGGCGTCGATGTCGTCGAAACCGCAGGATCGAGCGCTGGGGCGAGACTGACTCCGCTCGCCTCGCGGAGTCCCTTGTGTGCCCTCGTTGGTTTCTGGATCATTCGACGTAGAACTTTCGGTGCGTGGAACAATCGGAACACGATCAGGCGCGAATGTTCTCGAATTTACGAGAAGGCCAAGTTGAAAGAATAAATAAAATGACAGTCCGCTGACCGGAATCGAATCTACACTTTCCGCGCGATAGACAAGCGCGGTAACCACTCGGCCACGCACGCGCTTGCTCGCCGGCGTGCGTTATCAATATTGTGCGCGTACAGATTTTTTTCCCTCTCGGAAGGCAAAAAGACGCTGCACACGGACCCATAAGATGTTCCAAGAAACTGCGAGCACTATACGCAAACCAAGCACCGCCAACTCCAAGCCTCGTTTTCCAAGCAGAGTCGGAGAACGCCGAAGCCTTTGGCGCGCGACGATAGGCGGCGCGTACTTTTTTTTGGAAACGATTCATGCGCTAAACTGAACTGCACGAAGCTAAGACCATCAACAGACCATCAACGGGGAAAACGGGGAAGACTGGAGCGCTAAATACCAGTCTATAGTGGCACGTAAGCAGTCATTTGTTTTGTAACTAACGAGGAGCGGCGAGAACGCGATCTAACCTTCTCCTTCTTTCCCCAGTTAGAACCCGTTATCTTACGTTTCATAACAAACAAACAAAGAGCCAAGGAACGAAGTGATGCCCGCCTCGCAAACAGGGATGTACGCGCGTCGGCCTCCGAACTTCCCCGAGTGAAGCCATCAAGCGCTCCGCCGTGTACCTCTCCAGAAACAGCCGTTCACTTTCCCTGCGGGGGAAAGACGACGAAAAGCAGCACCAGCTGATCGACGTAAGTCCGGAGGGCGCCCGGCCGGGGGGCACCGCTGGTTCGGCGGCGAGCTGGTCAGCTAACCGGCACCTGTTGTCCTTTGATCCGCGGCCCAGAAGAGCTACGCGAGCGCGGGGACGCTTCGCGGAAGCGATCTCCGCGCGCTCGCACACGCTCAAAAGGACCGCCCGTCGCCGGACGATTAACCCATTTCGTCGCCGAATTGCCGACAATGGTCTCGGAGTCATCGCCCTTCCATCCAGAGTCCGAGCTTCCCCGAGCGTTTGGGCGCTTCCCAAGAGAAGACTGGCCGCCATTGTCCCGAGAGGCGGGACCCCCGAGGAGGTAATTCCTCGCGCCGAGGAGGACCCCATGAGGCGCGCTCGTGGCGTCGTCGCCGACGGGTGTCCGCCTTTCCTCGCGGCTATATAAGCCACGGGCAGTGTCCCCACACGGACGGCAGAGGATCTGCTCTACAGCGACATGCGACTCCTGGTGCGTACACGTTCCTCCTCTTTTCGCGTCTGTCCGCCTTCGTCCTCTCGTTCCCCGACACACGGCAAGGATGCAGATTAATCCCTCATTCGGACCATTCGGGGCTATTAAGGCAATCCGCTTGGCGGTGTCAATCACGCCTCTCATGGCCACCGGAGATGTGTCGCATAGAAAGGCCAGATGTTCAAGCTCGTAGCTTTGGCCGTCGCTGCATCTGCGCGAGAGTTACTGCAGCCGAGGTGCGTCACTGAGCAATGACCAAGAAGCTCGACCTTGTAGCTAGTATTCTTTTTTTTTTTTTCCCGGATACTCGATCCCATGGAGTCAATCAAGCAGCCCCGAAAGCGCATCGTCGCTCATCGTCTGCCAGCTGATATATCAGCAGGCAGGCGTTCATAAAGTTATCATTATCAAGTACCAGGTGTGCTGCAACGTTACTCGATCACTCAAGTTGGGGAAATTCCCATTGGCGCCAAGTATAAAGGACGTCCGAACCAATATTTTGTGCTATGGAGGGGAATACGGAGATGATGGAGGAACCACGATTTTGACCTCGTTTAAGAATAGCACTGTAGGCAAATCAAACCTCCGGAAAGTAATAGACCCTTTCAGAAATTACGTGCCATCTAAAATTGGGTTGTGTGGATATTTATACAGCGTGTAGTTGGTCAGCCATTAAAGTTGCGACGAGTCACACGCTGTAGACGAGCAATTTAGCCAGTGCAGTACAACCGCTAGCCTGGGGTCTTTAACGCGCACCACACAGTAGTGATACACGACCGCACGCCGGTACGACGCTCATCCAGATCGAAACGGGCAGGGGTGGGGCTTGAACCCAGGATCCCTGGGTTCTGCAGCGCGATCTTTCGCTCCACGCGCGTCGAGCTGGGTGTGCGCTTTAGCCCACTCGGCCACTAGTGGTCCAAATGCCAGTCTAAAGTTTCGTGTGCTAATGGCGGTCAAAGTCTAGTATATATTTGTCAACGGCAGTCGTACGAAAGTTATGGTGTTCTCCGCTGTATGCCAATTCTTTCTCTATTCGCTCCAGTATCACTGGTGTCAAAAAACTAATACTCTGTACGAGGCGCTTACTTGAGTAAAATTCTCGATAATATTCCCCACATTTTATTCTCATGCGCTGAGTGGGGCATGCTTAAGCCTATCATTCCAAGGATTCACGTGACACCCTCAAACGCGTAGCGCACAGAAGCTTACAAGTCTCGTCACGCTGACATCAAACAACCTCGAGCGCTCAGGCTACGCGTCGGTGCTCGGCTTCCCATTAACATGTGCAGATGAACTTAGGTGATGATAGTTGTCGAGGTGGCCTGACTGAACTACGAAACGAGTTTACTGGAATTGTATTTCGTGTATGTTTAGACAGCCGAAAGTTAGTCGGCCCCAATCACGGTGTAAGTGTGGCCCTAATAGACCGATATCGCCTACCAGTTTGACTACGACACCACTGCCGAGATGCATCGAGGGAACTTCAGTTTCTTTGCACGTGCCCGAACCTCGCTGGAACTCTGCGCGAAAAAGAGCACGAGACGGCCCGAACCGTCTCAGGCACTGCCGCCTGCCTCTTCTGAACTAAAGTTATGGCGGCTTCACGCATGAGCCGAACACTTGGTGAGTTCAGTCTGGGTGTCTGGTGTCTCAGCTGTAGATGATAAATTTAGCCCTAGTGCAGTACCGCTGTCAGCCTGGAAACGTATATCACGCAGCAGTGATGCACGAACGCACGCCGGTATGATGCTCACATACAAATCGAAGCGGGCAAGGCTGGGGCATAGACGCAGAATCATAGGTTCTGCTGCGCGAGCTTTCGCTTTACGTGTTGCGACAAGAACGTGATTAACATCCGCAGGAAGGTGGAAGCTTGTATTTCGTTACGGTTCCAAGAAGGCGGGAAGAAAGCTCACTGTTCACTCGTCATAAAAAACGAAGACACCTCTTCTAATTTTTGTTTTCCCACGCTTTTCATAGACGGCGATATTCTTTGTTTTCCCACGCATTCATCAATACATCTGGTTTTGTCAGTTTCTGGAGCTTTCGACAGCATCTGTACTCCTTGTATGTGCGGAGCCGTACAAAATTTAGGGCCTTTCTCCAGGACCTTTTCGATGTCTAGGGGAAGAGAGGATTCGCCCCAAAATCTGACCGACTCGCCTTGGTGCTCCTTTTGTTTGGCTCGTATATATCGTAGGTATGGTATGTGGGTCCTTCAGAGAGATTCTGTCATCCTGGTTGACGTGTGGAGGAAGGACTTGTGTCTTGATTCATGGTTGAAACCGGAGGCGTCAGTGTTCGCTAGTCGCCACAGGCACTCACGGTAAAACCTAACTTGTCTCCACAGCTCGGATCGGAGAATCGTGCAAATCCTTTTTCTGTGGCGTACCACCACTATTTTTTAGCTTTTCTAGTCAGCAGCAGTATTGCTTCGGTCTATTCAAGGCGTTTTTTTTCCTTCTTCGATTTTTTTATGTTCTGGAAAAGCAAGTAAAAAGTGACGCCGTTACGTTTCAAGTAACTTTAACTGTAGCTTGTTGCTTTCTGGATGTGGTAACACTAACGTCAACTTCTATACTTTCATTCTTCTAAAAGTAACTGTAAATGTGCTGAATTAGTTTCTGGAATTAACGCATTCAAGACTGCGAAGGGGCAACCACCCAAAAATAGCGACGTATAAATGCTTCGCATGGTCCCCGCTTACGTCAATAAATTGATCGAAATTGAAAACAGCTCGCGCCACTTCGCTCCTTTCCAAACTGGTTCCCAGAATGCAACAACGGACGCAGTGTTGAACGCATGGATTTACGTAAGTTGGCTCTCTCTCGCAGCTGGCCTGCGGCGTTCTCCTGGCGACGGCCTGCGCTGTCCACGGCGGCGGTGGCGGCTGGTCCGGGGGTGGCGGAGGCGGCGGCTGGTCCGGAGGCGGCGGTGGCGGCAGCGGCGGCGGCGGCGGAGGTACAGTGGCTTATGGCTAGAATTCCTTGCTTTCGGAGTGTATTCTTCGCCAAATCCGAAGGGTATACTTTGGAGCTTATTTTTTGCCAAAAATTCTGAGTTTATCGGAGTTCAATTTTCTTCGACTCCTAATTCTCCGAAATTCGGAGCTTATTTTTGCAGCATTCTTATTAGAAAAATATCTGGGTGAAAACGTGTGCTAGATTCAAAAGAATGCGCTTGTATCAATTAATATTTATTCAGCTGGATTTGGCGTTGGTGTCTTAGCCACTGGCAGCAATACTGATTTGTCTTACGACAAAAGTTGCAAACGAGTGTGGCTTCAATAAACGTTGAAACCTTAAAATAAAATTTAAGAAATACGCCGAAGACATTTAAGACTGCTTACGTATAGGAATGCGAAAGTATTCCTACACACAGCGCGTTCCTACTAGCAGCGCGCCATGTCCTCCTTTTGCGCACGGCGCTCCGGCGGTGACATCACTCTCCTCCACTGCGCAGGCCCGGCCCCGCCGGCCTCACAGCTTTCGTGACAAAGCATCTGCGTTGCTGTGTTTCTTCTTTTTTTTTTTTTTTTTTCTTCTGAGGCGCGTTTGCTTTGATTTTGAGCGGCGCGTGCTTCATGACGTATTTTTATGGCCATCTTTCAAGCACAACGCCGACGCCGCCCTTTCGCATAATGGAACATTTTAAGGCTTTCGCCTTAAGAAACTCCCGAAGGTAGTCGCCGGGAAGCTCGTATTCATCCCATCTTATCCATCAACCTACCCGGGCGCTGCGCAGCGTGGTATAAAGGGTGTAATATAGACACTCGAACTGCCCGCCCCCGCTTCCCCCTTCTATGAAATCTTTGTGGTTCACAGTGACAGTTGTCACTGTTACAAAAACACAACCTGTCCTTTCTCTAAGAAGAACAAATAGTATCCCAAACTGGAAATCGGAAGAGTGGCGTTTGTCGTGCCCCGAAACGCCCGTTGTCCTGATGAACTTTGACGTGATAAGCGGTAAAATTCCCTTTGTCAATAACCTAAAATAAGATAAAAAAAAGTTGGTGTGTCATTTTTTTTAAGATTATGGACCCTGTACGGCTGTCTAACCTTAATTGTAAAACACTTTTTTTTTTTAAATGTTACATTGAAATTTGGAGCGTATCGAATAAACCCGAATTGACGAAAATTTTACCGGCGGATTTTTTTCGGAGTTTTTTTCGAATTTATTCGAAAACACGGAACCGCAGGCGAATTCGCGGGGAAATTGACGGCGGAATGCCCTCGCCTGCGACGGAATACTCGACCGCGGGAACAATCGGTCCGGGCCAGAATTTTCCCGCGCAGAAAATGTTTCCACGCCGCCGCAGTCAATCGGAACGCACGGAGGAAATGGCGTTTGCCGGCGTCACATCCCAGCTAGAGCCAGTGACAAATGTGCCCTGTGCGCGTACATCATTGGCTCTCATTCCCCCCCCCCCCCCCCCCCGCCCCCTAATTTCCTTTACAACGTAATCACTCCGGCTATCCCGGACGAGAGTTCTATCGCATCTGGCATTTCTCAGGGTACCGTCTTAAGACCTTTACTATTCCTCATTTACATTACCGACTTACCCCTGTGTGTTTAATCTAAAATCAGTTTATTCGCTGACGATTTTGCGGTTTATAGGGAAACTACTAACGATTTTGGGCTCTCTGCTTCTTCAGAAAGATTTAAATGCTGTATTCGGGGGGGGGGGGGGGGGGGGGGGGGATCGGTGTAAACAATGGCACACGACCCTAAACACTAACAAATGCCAAACATTGAGAGCCTCGCGTCGTAACGTATCCCCTTCCACCTACTATACTTAACGTCCCCTTGCTTTCTGCAACTTCCTATAAACATCTTGGTGGGACCGTTACTTATAAGTTATAACCTATCCTGGCAAACCCACATGGAACACGTCCTTGCTAAAGCCAATTCAATGCTAGGCGACGTTAAACGAAACTTTTGTTTAGCTTCTGTCTCCCTCAAACTATTAATGTTATACGAATCTCTTGTTCGCTCAAAATTAAATTACACTGCAAAAATCTTGGATCCTGGTCTTACCACACTCACATCTAACCTAGAATCGCTTCGAAATCGGAGTGCTCGTTTCGCACTTAGCAATTATCATCGTACGGCGAGTGTAACATCCATGAAAAATCACCTTTCTCTTCCTCTTCTGTCTTTACGTCGTCGTTGCTCTCGCCTATGTCTTTTCTACAAACTACATCATGCTAATTCAGTCCCCAGGGAGAAACTCATCATAGAACCAACTTACATTTCTGCACGCATCGATTATCAGTTCAAAGTAGGCATTCACCACTGTAATACCACAGCTTCCTTAAATTCTTTCATACCTAGAACTTCATCAGAATGAAGCCACCTGCCAGTATCTTCAATCAATATTCTCGTCTGATTTGCTTAAAACTGCCGCTACTAATTATTTTTCTTGTGAAAGTGCCCCGTAACTGTGTTGATATTTTTAATTTCTGCATAATTTGTTGTGTCGCCTACCCCTTCCCCCCCCCCCCCTTTGTAATGCCCCAAGGGCCTTGAGGGTATTGAAATAAATAAATCAATCAAATATCTGGTGGGGGGAGGGGGGGAGGGGTCAGAGGTCCCCCCGGACTCCCTTGACCTTAGGCACTGATCGGCGCCCTGCAGAGCACTTCCACCCACGTTCCTGACCACTCAGCATGGCCGCGGAACTTGACGCTCGCTAGATGACGCTACAGTATTCGAAATGGCACTACTCCTGATAAAACGGTCCATACCCCAAGGAGCAGTTGCCTAGAGTACCTATGGCTGTGGCAAGGAATTTCTTTTAGTGGGAGCTAAGATGGCCGGGCTGTCCACAGCTTGAGGCGCGGGGGAGGGGGCGGCTGAACCCCCATAAGCTCTTCCCCTGGCTACGCCACTGCCCAAAGGTGTGGCCACTTGGCGCCCAAGAAAACGCATGGTTATCGCGCTGTCCACGCAGTCGCGCGGCGCCGAGGGAGAGGGTCTGCTGCCGGCGCACCGAGATACCGGGTCCGCCGAGACAGCAGAGACGGCTGTCGCGTTGCGGCAGCCAGCTATCCCAATTCAAAAGGGAAAACCCGTCCAGTCGTTCCAAATTCAAAACTACGCAAGCGCTGTCGGCTCCGAGGGCATTGGAACGCGTTCCGAGTATGCGCCGGAGCCCGCGTCGGCGGAGTCACGTGGTACGCTCACAACGCCGGATTGGATAAGATGGCACATGTAGCGTCTGCGGCGGTGTACTTACGGCGCTGTACTTAGGGCAGTGTACTTACGGTAGGTGTTTTGAGATACGACCGGAAGTATGCCACCGCCCTACACTTTGCTGCACCGGTGCGGGAGGTGCGAGTAAATCGAACGTGCCTATCGTCGTATGTAAAAAGCAGGGTGTTTGCTGCGGACACGATGGCAGAATTATTTGAAGACACCTCTCAAACAAATTCGAAGCATTTATTTTAATAAATATGTATTTGTTTGTACAATCAGCGTCTATGGGCAGTTCCGAAACTGAGCTAATCTAGTGACGTTCGATAGGGCGGAGGAGCGTCACGTCACCTGGCTCGCGTCTAGCGTTGGATTGGCTAACAAAGCGTCTAACGTCCGTCTTGTTCGGTGCATCGCAAGGTAACCCGAAGTATGGAGTTAACCACTTGAGCCCGCCCAAGAACCCACCTCGGTAATATTAAGTATATCCTTTATTTTCCAACAAACAATACAAGGTTGTTGAATGACAAAAAAAAAAAAAATGACGCTGCTGAAAAAGTCTTTTTTTTTTTTGTGATTGGCCGGCCGTTTGTAACCCCAAACTCCGTTTCCCTGCAAAATGAACAACAGAAAACGTGACGAACCCAGCCCATCTAACGTCGAGAGACTACCGCGTGACTTCCGGTTATTACCAGACGTAACTGAAAATGATCACGATTGTCGTTCTCTTCAGGCAAAGGAGGTGGCGGTGGAAGCGGCGGCGGCGGCGGCGGCGGCGGTGGCAGCACGACGTACAAGACCGGCTCCACGTACCTGGTCAAGTCTCTGCACCCTGTGAGCACGGGAGGCGGAGGTGGTGGTGGTGCTCGCGGCGGCGGCGGCGGCGGCGGAGGTCATCACGGCGGAGGCGGAGGTGGCCACGGAGGAGGTGGAGGAGGGTGGTCCGGCGGAGGTGGAGGCGGAGGGTGGTCCGGCGGAGGTGGAGGCGGAGGCTGGGACTGAGCCCGCCAACAAGCAGTTCAAACCTGCCGACAACCATGAGACCCGACCCGAGTGCCTGCGCAATAAAACACGACCCTTGTTCCCATCACCGAGTGCTGCGGTGCTGTCTGCTATTTCCTTCGAGGCCCGGACCACTGGCTATTGGGGAGCAGATGCAACCATCGCGCCCCTAGCGGATAACTTGGGAACTAAACGCAGGAGGACCTAACCCCTGAGAATCTTGGAGGCCATGATGAGGACAACATGAAATATTTGTTTGTATTCTCGACGCACTGCTCGACTGACGTTGCCGAAAGCTGCGCATCAGCGTTTAGCCGGAGCTCGTGCTCATTCAGTGAAGATACGATAGACCGGAACCTAAAAGCGCAAGTGAGCTGGTGTATATTGAACATTTTATTGAAAAACCTGAGACTGAGGTATTGACAGACGACGACAAGGAAGAGAAGGATAACGTCTCAACGTTCTCCTTCTCTTTCTTGTTGTCGTCTGTCAATACCTCAGTCTCAGGTTTTTCACAACATACGATAGACCATTTTCAATATCCAGCCTGTCAACTTTGATCACTATCATGAAATTTTGTGTGTGGCATTTTTGCCAACCATATAGAAGTCTACTAGAATTGTTTCTAGTATACACTCTAGCCAAACTAATGGCGGCCTTCTTGCGGCCGGTAAAAAAAAAAAGAAATTGAAGATACGGACTACCAAGCGGAAGATCATAGACACAATAACAGAGTCCCACCGTCTTTCCATAACAGCTCTTCATACGCAGGAAACTCTTCGAAATCATATGCGCCACCTTACAAGACACCAAGCCCATCACTTAGCGGACATACCGGAAAAGCGCTTCTACAGCCGCATTGCACAAGAGATCCTTGATCACACGCACATTCTTCCGACATCTTTTCAGCGATACAATTTACCCTCTACTCCTTAGCGGTTATTACCTCAAATTAAGATCTACAGCACTATTCCGGGACTCACAAAGAAATCAATGCTCCTCGGTGTCGCCCTTCGACAGCTCTCTTTATCTTACATTCATTTTGAACACTTATCTTCATGTCACATTTACACTGACGCGTCCACAACGATGAATCAGTCCTCTGTTGGTATGGTAGTTCCCACACATCTTATAAAAATTCGTTATAAGCTCTCCCATAGGATGTCGTCCACAGCTGCCAAGCTGGTGGCTATTCGTGAAGCGATGAGATATATTCTAACAATTCCTCCTTAATCTTGGACAATAATAACAAACCGTAATCATCCCTTTAGTCACTCCAGCACCCATGTAAGAAAAGCCCATACGGACAGCTATTATTGGACATCCTCAAACTACATTGGGACGCAGTTTGTCAAGGTAATGCAATATGGGTCTTCAGTGGATACCAAGTCACTGCGGCATTCAAGGCAACGAATTGGCTGACACTGTGGCAGCAGATGCTGAAAGCTATATACACGAAGTTCAAGCCCCATTTACTAGAACGGATATAAATAAAACAATAAGAGTCCTGGGGAAGACTATAACTGCACGTCTTTGGGCTAACGCAACCGATCAAGATACACGCTTAACTATTGATCCTCACCTGACGTTTCGCGTACCTCGCGGTCTCACTCGTCAGAGCCAAGCTTTACTACACCGAATACGCTTAAAAGTAGCTTACACCAATCAATACTTTTACCGCATAAGAAGAATTGCCTCTCCACACTGCGATCACTCCAGAATTATAGAAGACTTAGGACACGTCATGCTGGAATGTCCTCAAAATGAAAAAAGAACGCACTCAACTGCAAAAAAAAAGAAAAAAGAAAAAGAAAAATTCAACTACGTTTAGGAGAAGACCTTATACCGTCTGCAAGATACTGGGACCGTGGGAAAAAGAAGCCTCTGCCACAACAGCAACAAATGCCCTCTTGCGATACCTATCGGCCACAGGTCTCAACAAGAAACTCTAACGCTGTGACAAGATATACACTGATTTTAATTTTCTTCATTTTATTTTTATTTATTTTCGTGTGTTTTGTACCCTTACTATATCTTTGCATGCACATCCCTTCCCCCTAACCAGAGTAGCAAGTCAGGAGATACTTTTCGCCTAATTTCTCTGGCTTCCTGCTTTCACATCAATAAAAAAAAAAAATAAAAAAAAAAATAAAAAAAAGCGGAAGATATATAAGGGCCTCTACGTTCGAGACGTCAGCATAACACGACGCATAAATTGGATGCACAACGGCAGCGTAAGCATTTAGTTTGGAGTGTGGTCCAATCAATCTCTTAGCATAAGTTTGGCTCCAGGGTGGATAATAAAAGTCGAGATGATTTAAATCAAACTTTTCCTCACAAATAATTCAATTTCTTCTTAAGCTCACAATTTGTCTCTTATTTGACGATTTCTTTATGTATTTGTGTGTATCTAAATAAAATATTAATCGAGCAAGCAAGAACAATTGTAGCAGGCTGAACACAAAAAAAAAAAAAATCAGTGCTTTTGTGAGGAAATTGGAACGTCGAGCTTTCTTTTTACCTCCCAATTCATTCGTCAATTTCATAGTGCTTTATTAGAAGCAAATCATAACGCAAAAGAAAGAAACAATGTAAATAAGTAATGCCATATTGCGAGCCAATAAAAACGTAAAAAAAATGCAATTAAAGCTTTTTTACATCAGCAAAACGTTGTTCATTAAGATGTACTTGTTTCTTTTGCACCATTTTTTAACAATCTGATGTACTGGTGAATCTATCTGCCATGTCTTAAAATACATCTAGTAATAATTAATTACTTTTCCGAGCTACAGTCACTTAAATCATATTAATCTGATCTGAATCAAATAAAGCTGACTTAAATCAAATAAAGAAGATTTGAATCAAAGAAACCTTATTTATTTTACTTCTGTATTCACCCTGTCCAGGCTTTAAAGCCTTTGAATGGCGGAAATTTAATCAAGGGGCTTAGGGGTCAACGCTTAGTACTGGTCCGTTCTTATTTTGGACCGTTGGAACTGAAACAAACGAAGAAATAATTATGCGAAGATTGAAGAACCGATTATGATCAGCCATTGGCGCGCGAAAGTGTCCGATGAAATACAGTTTTATGACCGTTAATAGTTTGTCCAAAGTGAAGCTGCTTTTTCAGCCCCCAGACTGCACCGCATTTTGAGCACGAGTAAGCACGAGTCCACGCCTAATGCTGACGTCCAGTCGGTGACCCGCACTCAATCAGGGAAGACGACGTAGAGGATCTAGTCTACGGGCCTTGTGTTGGGTAAACACCGAGCTCTGTGAAAAGTATGCTAGACACACCGTCCCTATGGTTCGATCTTCTTGTCAATCGGTTCTTCTTCATCAATGCGTATGCTATAAAGCCCCATAAATCGGACGGAGTGAGGCGGATCCTATGAGCCCCAGCAGATGCTCACGGCAGACCGGGGGCCGATGCTGGAACCGTCAAAGACACCACCGCGCGTTTTCTCTGAGAAATCTTTCCTTTCAGTCGGAACAAAAGAATAAGGCATTTTGTAACACCCTTTGGGCTACGCAAGGGTGAACTACGCGAGATGTGAGTCACGTATAGACCGCGGGAGAGAGGAAAGAGGTCTGAAGCGAAGCGTTGCCCGGTCGAAACGCCAACGGGCTGGAGTCTTGCGAAGCTCCATCGCGCAAGGCCAAGGTCGTGCGAGCGGAGGCGTGATCGTAACGGCGTTCACATGAGACACGATCGGGCCAGAGTCCCGTGAGACGGCACCACGGGCGGAGGCCTAGTGAGCGTAGGTTGAAAGCACAGCCACCCAACGCGCATGCCTAAAAAAACGAAGACAACAACGACAACAACAAAATGTCAGACTGATATTCGTCATTAGATTAGACGGCGGGAGGCTAGTTTGTTGCAAGAGTTATGGGCGACACTGTTAAGCACTATAGATGATACATTTTACCAGTGTAGTACGACTGCTAGAAATACGCGACCGACAACAAGTACGATGCTTATCCCGATAAAAATGAACCGGGGACGAGAATTGTACCCAGAACCCACGAGGAAGAAAGCAGGACCCCGTAGCACATAAACCGCGATAAAATCTGTCATCTATCTTCCCTTTCAAAAGCAGCGGGATAGCCGGGAGATATATGGGAATAAATTAATGGACGAGTAGTTTGAAAGCTAGCCAGCTTTGTAAACACCACATCCCCGATCCACAGAGCCAAGGAGTTTGATTAAGATCCCGACTGCCCTATCACGCACGGACTACGTTGGGCAGTAGTCGAATGGACAACATCCAAGCTCGAGAAGTTCCGGTGTCCGGTTAGTGAAAGAAATATATTACGTGCATGTTCACGTGTCTTATAGTAAGCGCCTGAACATACAGGGTGTTTCAGAGAACGCAGGCCAAATCGCTCCTGCGAAAACTACTCATCGCAACGAAAAAAAGCTTGTGGCGTTTTGGTCCTGGGCCAGGGGCCCATTTAGGAAAATTGTTAAAGTCCAGGATAATTAAGTTGTTAATTATTTTTACGTGATTAACTTTTTTAATATTGTGTATAAGGGCATGCTTTAAATTAGAAAATCGCTCAGCTTCATCAAAAAACACTAAATCAACAAATTGCAGAAGGATAGAAGGCACGCGACGCATTTTACGACTTTCTGAAAAACTGCACAAAATCGACGGGTTTTTAAGTTTCGGTTTGCTCTCGGAGCGCATCTCGGCCCCGGCGGCACCGCGCCCCGTGGAGCGATAGTGCCACCAGCCTCTGCTGCGTCGCGCGATGACGGCGCAGCAGAGGGCGGGAGAGGTGGATTGTGAGGGAGAGGTCGTTTACAGTATTCCGCTCAAGTGCGGAGGGAGGTATGTCGGTCAAACAAAGAGGTGTATTAATGACCGCATTGCTGAGCACAAGAGAGCAGTGGCATCCAACTCACAGAATTCGGAGATTGCCAGACACGTAGGTGAATGCGACGATTGCAAGCCGCTGTGGAATAAGACAACGGTGTTAGTGAAGGAGAATGATGCAGCTAAAAGAATTCTTATCGAAGCTATTAAAATAAACAGCACAATCAACTGTATTAGTAACCCGTCAACATTTATGGACGAGGCGACGAAGAGATTTCGAAGTCTGCCTTTGAGTGTGTTTTGTTTGTGCGAGCCGTGGTTTGTTGGTTTTATTTTTGTTTTTGGAAGTATGTGTTCAACTTCGTACGCAGCTGTTTTTAGATTCCTAAAAAGCTTTTCTTTTTTTCTTTTAGGAAGCGAGAGAAAGAGAGAGAGAGGGTTGAGGGGGGGGGGTTAGGAAATACGGCCTCTGGGGATAGCACACCTTGGAAGTTCTCAAGGTTTAAATTTATAGACCGACACGCGGGTTTGACGTCACGGCGCTGCGGCGGCGCAGCGATCGCGCCGGAGCCGAGGGGTGTGGGCAAAAGGGCGCACGTTTAGCAAGGGCGTCATAGTATTTCAGCATACCGCGAAGCTGTGTTGCGGTAAATCTCACCGAAATGTACAAGAAAAGTAGCGGAGTGAGCTTTTACAAGTTCCCGGCAGACTCTGAAAGGCATAGAAGGTGGATAATATCCGTGGATCGAAAATTATGGTCGCCTCGCGCGTTTCTACGGCAAACACTTTCTTGGAGGCAAGTGCGGCTTCCATTTCAATCTGCGTCCCGAGGCTTGCTTATGTACAAGGAAACCGTCGTCTGATCGAGACCACCCGAATTTTGTTCCCACGGTGTTCGCGCATAAAGCACCGGGAAGCGCTCGTCGGAGGCTCGCTACGCCCGTGCTACTCAGCAGAAGGGGATCGGCGGCAGAACGGCAGTGTTGTAGGCGTTACCAAAAAAAAAGTAACGAAATACGTTACCCGTTACTTGCAAATCAAAGGTACGCGTTACTGAGCTACGTTGCCTAAAAATAAAAGAAACGCGTTACCGCTACCGATAAAAAGTAACGCATGTTACTTCTGCGTTACTTTTTAAATTATAATTTAACACGTTTTACGGTTCTGACGATACAGGTATGCATAAGTTCATATATAAAACACATTACGTTCATGCAGAAACAGAACATAATTACTTTATCTCTTTTTACGGTTTCACCTAAATACTCACGTGACAAGAACGCAAAGAAAAACATGGCTTGACGCCTAAAAACACGGAAAAACTTAACTTGAAGTGTAATTGCAGTAACGAATAACGTAACTACGTTACTTGAAATAGTAACGTAAGTACGTTACCCGTTACTGTGTCGAAAAAGTAACGAGTAGGTTAATACGTTACCGAAAAATGTAGCGCGTTCCTGGTAACGTCGTTACTTGTGACGTGTTATCGCCAAGACTGCAGAACGGACAAAGCGTTACTGGTTGTCATGCCTTGTGGTCATGAGAGTAGGAAGAATAGCATACCTTGACTTGAAGACGCTGTGTGTATTTATTTAATTCATAAATGCACTTCCGCAGACCCACAGTCTGCTGACCCCGCCGGCAGCGCGGAAACCGACTCGAGGTAACCGTAGGCCTCGAGAGACGTGTACGCCTGCACCGTGTCAACCGTGAACTGGCTTGGCGAAAAAAACTAAATAAACGACGACGTGAGCCGTCGACTTCGGTGGCAGCAACTTCACGTCAGAAGTCCAGCAGGCCTTGTTTACGGCGTACGGATCCTCGAAGGCAACGCCGTCCACGCACAGTTTGTTTCGATACCGCCGCCGTTCAGGCTCGGGTAGCGAGCTCAAACAGTCGGGCATAGCATACGACATACGTTGCCAGGAAATACGACTCACAAATAAAGCTAGAAGCGTCCCTACAACGTCAACAACGAGCGCATGCCACAAAACGCAATGGCGAAAACACGGAGGGCCGGGTTGCTTTTGCCCACATAGCTACCGCGCATGCGCGGCCTTCCGGCCGTGTTGGTAAACACAGCCGCTCCGCGTGTCGGTCTATAGGCTTAGTTTGAGTCAGCGAGCTGTGGAGCGGTTGTTACTTCCCGCCTTATTCCCGCCTGGTGTCGGCTTCAAGGTTGAGGGGGGGGGGGGGGGGGGGGGAAGTAATTTAGCCTAAATCTAAGATTTGCTTTTTTCTTTTTTTTACGAATTGCAGAAGGAGTTGTGAAAAAAGTGGTGTGAGAGAGTGTTTGACAGTGTGACGTCATGCGCCTGAGTGATGGAAGTTTCTATTTCTTACAGACGAGGCTGGGGAACAAATGTTCAGCTGAGTTTGAGACCTGCGTCTGTATTGTCACATCTTTTCTTCTTCATTTTTTCTCCTAAGTCTCAGGTTTTACAATGTTGGATTTAGAAAGACTCTTTAAATTGGAACCTGAATGCCCCAGTAAATTCATAAATTAGATTAGAACGACCCAAAAAACCAGTTTAGCGCAAATAGACAACAAGAGATATAAAGACGCTATAGCCTGTATTCCAATTGCCTGCGGAAAAATTTCTTTTCCATGAAGAACCTACAAAAGGAGCACTTAGCAAAGAAAAACGGTACGCCGGTGGAAACAAAATATCTGAAATAGAGTATCGTGGTTTGATAAGCACTGACGAGGAGATAATCGTCCCAGCTTTCGTCGAGTATACACTGAGCTGTTTCGCCGTAAACATGCCCAGAGGCAGCTTGATCACACCTTTTTAAGACTAATGCCGAGATCCGAGAAGGAAGCGACTGCCTGGCTCGAACTACCTCAAGACTCCTTTCGAAAGACCACCCTATGTTTATTTATTTATTTATTTATTTAAATACCCTCAAAGGCCAGTCGGCATTAAACAGGGGAGTGGGAGTAACAAAATAACACACAAAAAGAAACAAAAGGGGAGAGTATATAAGGTATCATGGCGGCTCAGGACAGTGAAGAGTGTTTATAGCATTTTTCAACATTTGGGCATCAACAATATAAATTACGGAAGTCGAAAGGTGATTCCATTCCAAGGAATTTTTCGGGACGAATGATAGTAGAAATGCGTTGGTATTACATTTGCAAATTCAAACTTTGAGGTGATGATCGATGCGAGGTGAAATGTAGAACGGTGGGATAAAAGGCGTTGCATTAAGTACGGGTTAACATGATAGATTTTGTGAAAAAGACACAAACCAGCAACTTTACGTCGGAAAGAGAGGTTAGGCAGGGACAAGGTGATTTTCATGGAGCTCACACTGGCAGTACGGTAATAGTTGCCTAGAATAAAACGGGGAGAACGGTTTTGGACCGCTTCCAGAAAGTTAATTCGATTAGACTGACTGGGGTCCCAGACGGAAGAAGCCTTCTGTAATTTGGACCGAACGAGAGATTTATACAGTGCTAATTTTAAGGCTGACGGTGCGAGAGCAAAGTTTCTTTTCAGGTAACCTAGCATGCGATTAGCATTATTAATGACATTTTCAGCATGAATTTTCCAGGAGAGGTTAGAAGCAATGTGGACGCCCAAATATTTATAAGAAGAAACAGGGGCCAAAGGGACGTTGTTGAGATGGTAGAAGGGCACATTAGGACTAGTACGCGATATTCTCATAACTTTACCTTTAGTAATGTTAAGTTTAATATTCCAAAGTTCACACCAGTGGTAAACAGCATCGATATCTGTTTGGAGCTTTAAAACATCAGAGTAGTTAGTAGATTTAGTATATATTACTCAGTCGTCAGCGAAAAGATTAATTAATGATGAGACGCAATTAGGTTGGTCATTGATGGACATAAGAAACCGTAGAAGGCAGGCACGTAGCCAGGATTTCATGACAAAATGCTGTATGAGGGGGAGGGGGAGCGGAAGCCCCAGCAAAATGGAAGATTTCGGGGCGGGCCCGTCCCCATGCCCCACCCCCCTGGCTACGTGCCTGGTAGAGGGCCTAATACGAATCCTTGAGGAACACCGGACGTGACGGAAGTGAGGGGAGACGTGTTCTCATTAGCAGTAACAAACTGATATAAAACAGGCTATCCAGGCAACTACACTGGGATTAATACTTAGTTTGCTAAGTTTTAATAGAAGCAAATGGTGAGGAACTTTATCCAAAGCCTTGCTAAAATCTAGAAAAACACAGTCAACTTGGGATCCCCAATCAAGGATAGAATGAAGATCGTTAGTAAATGACAAAAGCTGTGTCTCACAGGAGTGAAATTTGCGGAAACCATGTTGTCCCCTGTTACAAAAAAAAAAATTTAATTCTAGGAAATTAACCAGTTGGGAGTATGTTATATGCTCTAGTAATTTACATTGTATGCTTGTAAGCGAGATTGGACGATAGTTAAGGGGGGAATGCTTATCATCTCCTTTGTGCAATGGAATCACCCTGGCTACCTTACAGTCGCCAGGTAAAATGCCAAGTTCAAGCGACTGAGAAAATAGTTTAGAAAATATAATATATCAATACATAATTGAGTTTTTTAAGAACTTGGAGTTAATATTATCAGGACCAGCTGAAGAATACAGTTTTAAATTGTTTATTAGTTTAACAATACCAGTGTGGTCAATTACAATGGGATCCCTAGGTATAAAATCATATTCCTGTAGTAAGCAAGATGGCGGATTAACAAGACTTGAAAATCAGTCAAGCAAAAACATTGTTCAGGATCTCCGCACATACATCACTGGGAATCGCACAACCGTTCACACAATGTGAAACAGACCTTACTGTTACTGTTACTGTATTGCTGTTAACAGTGTTCCAAAATTGTTTAGGACTAGTGGCTAGTAATGTCGGCAAGGTGATATTAAAGAATGTTTGGCGCTTTGAAAAGCAGATTTGTACTCCACAAGAGCGTCGCGATAGACTGACCAGCGATCCGGTTTGTTAGAGGACTTAGCGGCACTTAACAAACGTTTTTTTCTTACTGGAAAGCCGCTTGAGTTGGACATTGAACCTAGCAATACATTCCACATCGATCTGAAAGATCAAGGCTCGAGACCCACGCCGCTCTTTTCTTCTCCTCCGATTGAGCCCTTGTTTCACGATCGGAATCCTTAATTCCGTGAATTATCTCGCCTGTTTTTATCTTCTAATTCGTCAAGGCTTGAGCGTAGAAGAATGTTTTGTTGACGAAAATAATCCCTGGAGGAGGGGAACAAGAGGGACAAAGGACAAACATAAATCTCCAAACACAGCTATGTGACTGGTACGCGACCGAAAAAATCCGCCTGGTCCGGGTATCGAACCCGGGACCTCTCCATTACAGGTAAAGCGCTCTACCAACTGAGCTAACCAGGGTCGCTAAACTCGTCAACAAAAATATTCTGTGTGTTATGACATAGTGGGGGGAGGAGCCGAAGGATTGCTGCGAAGTTTTCTTTTTTCACAAACCCGCAGATCCGTCTGTCTTCGTGACGTTTTTCGTTGAGGGGACGAAAAATCCATACGCCTCCCTAGGCACCGAACAAGAGCAGCACTGGAGAGCGCGCGGAGACGACCGTGGCTCATACGTCTGACGTCACAACAAAGATTACCAGCTGCGACCGTCATGTTTGATGGTCTCTAAAAAGCACGATGGATGCTTGGGAATCGCATTTTAAAATCAACACCGTCAAAGTTGATAGTCTAGTATCGTTCTTATTTCCGCCGATAAAGCAGAATTTCCTAAAAAGCGCCCCTGCCGTTCTTGTGATTTATCTCGACCTTTCGAATCTGGCCAAAGTGTAGCCCGACGTGGCTAGGTCACAACCAGCCGACTACCGTTGTCCACTTTCGGACGAATTTCGCCTCCGGGCAGTTGTCCCTTCATCGGCGGGATAAAATCATTTTATGGTAGACATTCGAAGATCAGTTAGTTTGGGATTAAGTACGTTTATCAACGGAAATAAGGAAATAAAAGTAATGTCAGGTTGTCAATATTGGCGGTGATGCTTCAAGAACGCAAGGACACTAAACTTGACATCATCGATTTGAACACGCACCATCGAATTTGACGTTCACAACTGATAATCCTGACTCCATCGTCAAAGGTATCAACTATAAAATGACGTCACTGAACACGCCCGCACACTATATACGTGCCCTGGCACGAGTCTCGCTTGGAAGTCTGTCATGGCCACTCATGGAACGCGAGCCGTTTTAATTCCAGAATCTCTTGAACTGTTATTTCGAAAATTGCAGGCTGTGCTGTTCCCCGTCATTGCTCATTGGAACACCTCTAAGCAGGGTCGTCGAAACAGAAGGATGGGGAGGGGGGATTTAGCCCCCCCTTCCCCCAGTTGCGTCGAAAGAGGGGGCAAGGGGCATAAGGTCGAAAGGGAGGGGGGGGGGGGGGGGGTATCGCCCGAGCCCCGAACCACCATAGCATTTCAGAGAGTGATAATAAAATATTAGGAGGAAGGAATATCCCCCTCTTCACCACCAGGGGGCTTGGCACTGGAAGGATGTCCAGCTCACCCTTATGTTTTCTGCAGATATGCCTTTTCACCGTGGAAGCGAGCTTTTCGCCCTCACCTTCGGAATCCATGCCGATATCTTCACCAACTTCGACAGCGGACCGGGAAAGCAATTTCCCGGATTTCCAACGACTACGCTTTCACCAGCTCGGCATCTGGCAACAAGGGACGACTGACGCAACAGGATGGCTACAAGAACAACAACCGCCCTCGCATCACTCGGGGCTTGGCACTGGAAGGATGTCCAGCTCACCCTTATGTTTTCTGCAGATATGCCTTTTCACCGTGGAAGCGAGCTTTTCGCCCTCACCTTCGGAATCCATGCCGATATCTTCACCAACTTCGACAGCGGACCGGGAAAGCAATTTCCCGGATTTCCAACGACTACGCTTTCACCAGCTCGGCATCTGGCAACAAGGGACGACTGACGCAACAGGATGGCTACAAGAACAACAACCGCCCTCGCATCACTCGGGGCTTGGCACTGGAAGGATGTCCAGCTCACCCTTATGTTTTCTGCAGGTTAGTTACTTATCATGTTCAAAATACCGGTTTAGGAAAGTTTCATTGTTTGAGGTGCCATGCCCCATGGTCTTGCATACTGTACTCTGTTTTGTGTTTCACAATACGTGGAGTGTTCTTGCTGTTATTCAATCACTTTTAATGAGCGCGGG